TAGAACCCGGCGCCCATATGGGATGCTGGTGCCGCAGGTGGAGGATTAACCAAGTGAACCATGGCGCCGGCTCCCCCATTTACTTTCTATTTTGAATACAACAGAAATTGAGCTAGTGCAATATTTGTGTATACTCTTCAGTCAGAATAACCAATTGCTAAAATTCTGCTATGCTTGCCTTTTCTTATTATTATGCTTTAATTTACTGCTAAATAATTTGAAACAAGTAACCTATATCGTAATATCTCATCCCTGAATTCTTCAACACGTGTGGCAGAAGAGCAAAGGCATTCTTCTCCATAACCACATGGCACTGTTATCTTACAAAATGACTGACATCGTAATAATGGTCTCTTATACACAGCCTGCACTTTTTTGAGTTTCACTAATTGTCTTTGCTTTGTGTTTTTTGTTTTTAGGTTGAATATCCAATCAAGAAATAAGCAGGGGTTTGGGAGCTGAGGAGACTGGATGTTGGCCAAAAAATAGAAAATTTTAGTTAGAAATTTCAGTGCAATAGCGTGGCAGGTGAATCTGCAACCTGCAGTGGTGGCATCCTCTATGGATGCTAGGGAGTCCTGGCTGCTCCACTTCAGATCTACTTTCCTGCTAACATGCCTGGGAGAGCAGTGGAAGATGACCCCAGTGCTTGGGCCCCTGCACCCATGTGGGAGACCCGGAAGAAGCTCCAGGCTCCTGGCTTCGGATCAGCTTAGCTCCAGCCATTGCGGGCATTTGGAGAGTGAGCTAGCAGATAGAAGATATCTCTCTCTCTGTCTATAACTCTATCTTACAAAATAAATAAATAAATAAATAAATCTAAAAAAAAAGTTTCAGTTGGACAGGAGGAATAAAGTGTCACCTTTTTTCCAACTCTACAACAAAAAATTAGTGTCGGCAGGGCCCAACTGGGCTACCAATAATGCTACCAAAAGATTAAGGGCTATGTCTACCTAAATATTAAATCTTACTTTAAAAATGTTAAATTTGTTTATATTTATTTTATTTGAAAGGCATTCACAGATTAGTTCCCCCAAACACCCAGGACTGGACCAGGCCAAAGCCAGGAGTGTAAAACTCAATCCAGGTCTTCCACATGGAGAACAGGAATGCAGATATTTGGGCCAGCATCTAATGCCCCTCATGAAGTGCATTGGAGAAACCTGGATAAGAAGCAGAGTCGATGGGACTTGACCCAGGCATGCCGATACGGGCTATGGTGTCCCAAGTGCAGATTTGACCACTGTGTCACACACTTGCCCCAAAATGCAAGATGTTTGTATCTGATGTTTTGGGGGTTTTTTCTTTGAGTGGGGAGGGGAGAAATAGGGAGCATCATCATTTGGCAAGAGAGGATGAGGGGTGGGTATTTAGCCTAGCTGTTATGACATACCCCATATCACAGTACCTGGGTTTGAGCCCCAGCTGTGACTCCTGATTCCAGTTCTTGCTAATGTAGAACCTGGGAGGTAGCAGTGACAGCTCAAGTAACTGGGTTCCTGTCACCTGCATGGGAGATCTAAATTGAGTTCTGGGCTCCCAGCTTCATCCTGGCCAAGCCATGGCCAGCGTGACCATTTGGTCAGTCAGTGGATGGGGGCTCTTTCTGCCTCTCTGTCTCTCAAATAAGTCAGAATTTGAGGAAAAGCAAGAAGAATGACGTGTGAGGTTTGAATGAGTAGAATGGGGTGTGCCACAGCCAGTGTGCAGAGAATGGGAAAGAGATCTAATTCAGGAACCACGGTATCCGGCATCTTCAGTATGCAGCAAAGGGGTCTGTGGTCTGAAACTGTGAACACTGGAACTGATGGGCCCAGGGTCCACCAGAGTCCACAGTGCGACTAGAGGCAGAAGAGTGGGGGCTGGGGTGTTTGAGGATGAGGAACTTCTGATCCCAGAGTGGATACTGACTAGTCATCCAGCTGGAAATGATGGATACTTTCAATTCTGTTTGCACAAACACATCTCTGGTGTTTCTTCCACCCCAGGATGGAGGACTTTTCTAGGGATCCTGTTTCCTGGTGCCTTGGTCACTGCCCAATAAGTATTTTTTTTTTCTGTAGGTGGCCAATAAGGGGGTGTGAGCTTGATGAGACAAAGCAAGAATATGAAGAAAATGAGAACACCTTCCTCTCTTTTTACTTCTCCTCCTCATTGCTACCACTTGCTTAAAACTTCCTCATGTCCATATCTCTACAGATCTTTTATAAGAACACATGTGTTGAAATGCCAAACTTGTCTTATTCCCCTGAGCATGATTAAGAACTTTGCCTGGAGACTGCCAGACCTGCTCCCATCTGCTGGGAGTTCCCATTTATACCACATTAAAAACAGGAAGATAAAAAGTACCACCACTAATACTCCCCGTGTTCTTCCTTCCCACCTTAACCAAAAGGTCATTTGCCTTTGGACTGTATCAGAGACAGAGAGAATACCCTGGTGTTCTAATTTACAGAATATGAATTAGAATTGTCTTACAACTTCAGATTTTTTCTAAACGACACTAAAACAATAGCATTTCCTACCATCTAAAAATGCTCCTTCTGTACTGATGACTCCAGAAGTCACAAGTCCATGGTGAGCCAACTTAAAGGTGTCACCCATTTCCTTTTTAATATTCAAGTTCTTTCCATAATGTTTTCTTTTCCTTTTTCCCCCCTCCCTCCCTTCCTTCCTTTCTTAATTAGAATGTGAGTTCCTGTATTATATGCTCCACATTAGTGCTGGGTCTGCAACAATGTGACAGTTTCTATTTTCATCCTGTTACTTTCAGGCACACATGGGCTGCCAAGGACATACCCTTTCTGCGTGCCTGGCAGCTTATCCCTGCCTGGTGCTTTTCCTGGCAGCCTGGCTGCTGAAATGCTTTCTTTAAGGAGGCGAATGGGACCCAGCAAGCAGAGAGGTATCCCCACCCCACCTCCCACCCCCAGCCCTCCATCAGTGGAGCACCTGCTAGTGCCAGGCCAGGAGAGGCACTGAATGGGCACTTGGCATATTAGGAAAAAACAGCCCTTGTCTGTCCTCCAGGACCTCAGGCAAACCAATCTCCTCCACTCACACAGTGAAACATGAGAAAACTGTCAGATGAATTCTCAAGAATCTTTTAGCTTTTAATAGGCTTGTTAAGAGGTTTTTTTTTGGGGGGGGTTAAAGATTTATTTATTTATTTGAAAGACAGTTACAGAGGGATGAAGCAGAGAGAGAGAGAGAGAGAGAGAGAGAGAGAGTCTTCCATCCCCAAATGGCTGCAACGGCCAGAGCTTGGCCTGATGAGAAGCCAGGAGCTTCTTCTGGGTCTCCTACATGGGTGCAGGGGCCCAAGCACTTGGACCATCTTCCACTGCTTTCCTAGGCACATTGGCAGGGAGCTGTATCGGAAGTGGAACAGCCGGGATTCAAACTGGCGCCCGTATGGGATGCTGGCACTGCAGGCAGCAGCTTTATCCACTACTCCACAGCACTGATCCCTGTTAAGGGGTTTTTTAATGGGTGATCTCCTGCTAAGTATTTACTCTGCCCTGGACAATTCCTCTTCTTTGTTTCATAACATGCATATAAGCTGTCTTCTTCTTTCAATTGGTGTGTATTCCAAGAAAATGAAAATATTTAAATATCAAAACAAATAAGTTTTGGCATAATTATGATGTAGAATAGTACACAATCATTAAAATTATGCTTTTCATGACATGGAAAAATGTGTATTCAATAATGTCAAGTGAAAAACCAACACAGGCAAGAAGAGAGCAGTAATACCAGGTATTAAATCATTTGTTAGTACCAGAATTTTAACAGTGGTTATCCTTGAATGGCAGGATTATAAATATTTAAGTTTTTCTTTGTTTCTTGCAGTTCTCAAAATAAAGACTACTCTAATCATGCTTTTTCTGAAGTAAAATGGTTACTTTTTAATATAAAAGTGATTTTTAAAGCAAAAATTTCAATATGTATGCCAAAGCCAGATGTAATTTTTTTTTTAAAAAGTTTATTTCTACGTATTTGAGAGAAAGAGAGAGAGACCACACACATCCAAATTTCCATCTGCTGGTTCACTCCCTAAATGCCTGGAACAGCTGGGGCTAGGCCAGGCTGAAGCCGGGTACCAGAAACTCCATCTGGGTCTCCAACATGAATGGTGGGGGACCCAAGTATTTGAGCCATCATTTGCTGCCTCCCGCAGTGCACACTATCAGGGAGCTGGATTGGAAGTGGAGGCAGAACTCAACCCCAGGCACTCCAATATGGGATGTGGATATTCCAAGCAGAGCCTTAACCCACTCTGCCACAATGCCCACCCAAGTTGTTGCAATTTTCTAAATTCCTCATAGCTTCTTGTAATCCCAAGCAAATTTTATTTTTTAAAAGGGCATTATTTACCACACTTATAAAATTTTTATTTTCTTTCCTTTTAGCATTTTTCTGGGGCAAGAATTTCCTCTATACTTTTAAAGTTCTTAGGAATAATTCTAACCTTGTATTTTTTCAGTGAGCCTTCTCATTGTTGACATGCAGGATGGTGCTCTGGTTTTGAGGTCGAAAATATGCTGCTAATATGGTAAATGTCCAAAAATCCACCCATGAAAATGTGGTCTATCTGAGCTAGAAGTCGGTCAGGTGGTACAGAGTCCATCACTGCATGAAAATGTCTTTTCATAAATGAATGACAGATTCCAGTCCATGGATTACATCGTGGACTTAACTGTGGTTCGCAAACATGCACATCCTTTTATCCTTGACCTTGGAGGGAAATAGGTCAGAGTACTTTGAGAGTAAACTTACGGGTAAATTCAAAATAACATTTAAAGTGCTTAAGTGCTTATAATTGATTTCTCTCTCTCTCTCTCTCTCTTTTTCTTCTTCCCTTCCTCCCTCCCTTCCTTCTTTTCTTTCGATTTCTGCTTTTTATTAGTGAAGAGAATTTCACTTGTCCTATAAGCTAGATTAAGACAAAGGATGAGCCAGAGGGAATCTAGGGCTAGCTGTAGGTTGGGTCCTCTCACCTGATTGTCGAACTCTTTGAAGAGTTTGCTGCACCAGAACCTCCGATCTCGGGACAATGATGATGAAGTCCACTTTGCTGAAGTGACCGAGGTCCAGGCTCTGGCTGCCACTGTCCGCAATAGCACACACCTGGGATAAAAGTTTTCTGGCAACTGTAAGCTGTGGTTGATAAATTTGGAAGGTTTCATTATCTAAATCTAAAATAAAAAAGTCATAAAAATACAATTAATTTCTCTCCCTGATGGCTGTTATCAGTCCATTTGGGGGCATGTGACACATACGCTAAAGTGATACTCTATCACCAAGAATCCTCACTTGCTCTTTTTACTTTCTACTGAGTTTTAATAGATTGGCCAATTTCCCCTGAAAAATGCTGCTGAGATGTGCTCACTAGTGGGTGCTGCAGTTTAACAAATGTGTCATTTAAAAATGGATTGCTTGTATCACAAATGCCCCATACGACACCCCTTTCCTGAACAGCAGCGGTGGAGGTTGACCACACCCTCGTGCAGTGGGAGCCGGGACTCATCTCTGGCAGGGGGCGAGTTTCCAGGTTTTCAGGAACATCAGCACAGGTCAGTCTTGAGCCCAGACCTGTCCAGGGGAAGAGGTGATGCTGACGCTGTAGCTGCAATTGTGCTGAGTCTGAGTTCTTCCGGATTACACCATGGTAAACATTTCCTCTTCCGCAAGTCAGTGGTAACTGCGTCTGAGATAGTCTCCTGAGCTCTACCTCATGTTGTCACGGAGACGTGTCCCTCACCTTTCATCCTACTTGACTGGACTTTGCCAGCGCTTGTGACCTGACAGGTCTAGGTGGTTGTGGTCTAATCCAGTACTGACGCCTGGACCGTCTGGAGAGGCCTGACTCATGACATAGCTAGCTGGCCACCAGTAGATGATGCATTACGAAAACACTGCCGGATACTCTAAGCAGGTCAGTAGCCTTTACTGCAAATATAATCAAGCAATCAATCTCATATATGTGTGTGCACGTATACACACACCATGAAAGAAACAAGCTTGTCAGTGTAACACCTGAGCAGGCAATGGCCATATCCTAGTTTAAAGGACAGCTTTTTAGTGGGAACACATGTGGCAGTTTGAAACAGATTTCCAAGGGCCTAACTAACCTCTGCTAATTAATATTTTCTAAAATCAAATTGCAATGCAGCCAAGGCAAAGACATGCCCTACCGGCTGAAAAAACTCACTGGGAAAGCCCAAAGCTGCAGTTTTCAACAGTAACCCAAATAGGTTTTGATCTACAAAGATCACCAATGAAAATAAGTCTGTTGTCTGCTCTAGTTAAGTTTTGTATCATTTCACAAGTTGAATGGCTGAGGACTAACAACAATTTCTATTTGTAAGCCTGTAGAATCTAACTTAGCAAGTTTTGAAGTTTGAGGCAACACAAAAACATCTTTCAACAACATTTTCCAAATGGAGCCAAGACTATGTACTTGGGAATCTGTAAGTATTCTGAGAATTTTTAAAATACCATGAACATAACACATTTCAGATCATCTGGATGGTCACTGAATTACCAAATACTCTCCAGAAGTCAAAATAAGTTATAGCCTGTGTTTGCATTTTTTTTTTTTTTTTGACAGGCAGAGTGGACAGTGAGAGAGAGAGAGACAGAGAGAAAGGTCTTCCTTTTGCCATTGGTTCATCCTCCAATGGCCGCCGCGGCCAGTGCACTGCGCTGATCCGATGGCAGGAGCCAGGTGCTTCTCCTGGTCTCCCATGGGGTGCAGGGCCCAAGCACTTGGGCCATCCTCCACTGCACTCCCTGGCCACAGCAGAGAGCTGGCCTGGAAGAGGAGCAACCGGGACAGAATCCGGTGCCCCGACCAGGACTAGAACCCGGTGTGCCGGCGCCGCAAGGCGGAGGATTAGCCTAGTGAGCCACGGCGCCGGCCTGCATTTGTTTTCATGACAGAGCTGATGCCAAGCCATGCTACTATTACCCGGAAATCCTCATATATAAATGCTGCATTCCTATCAAGTACAGCCAAATGGTCAGCAGCAGCAGCTTATGTGGGTCTGTTTCCCATCAAGACTCTCTCCTGTCCTTCTTCCCTCCTCTCCCATGCTGTGTCTGTCAATCAGTGAGCTGGGAAGGAATCTGAATCCAAAGGAATCCAACTCAATGACCGAGCTCCTCATCCTCAGCCCTCAGTTCCTGTTTGGGCCCCTGACTTGTAGGGGAGATGATGTGTCAGTGCTGCTGCTCCATCTGCCCGGAAGGCCTTACTCTCCCTGAGATTGTGCCTGTTTTACAAGTCAGAGAACGAGTGAAGGAAAGGTAGCCAGGGACCCTTCCACACCCTGCAGCCTAAACTCTTTCAGGCAGTCCTCTGAAACCTGCAAACAGCCCCAGCAACTCTGGGCACCACGGGGGAATTAAGGAAAATGGACCGAGAACCCTGGATTTTTTTTTTTTTTTTTTTGACAGGCAGAGTTAGACAGACACAGAGAGAGAGACAGAGAGAAGGTCTTCCTTTTTCCATTGGTTCCCCCCACCCCCCAAGTGGCCGCTATGGCTGGCGTGTTGCGGCTGGCGCGTTGTGGCCGGCACGCTGCGCTGATCCAAAGCCAGGAGCCAGGTGCTTCTCCTGATCTCCCATGCGGGTGCAGGGCCCAAGCACTTGGGCCATCCTCCATTGCCTTCCCGGGCCACAGCAGAGAGCTGGACTGGAAGAGGAGCAACTGAGACAGAATCTGGCTCCCCAACCGGGACTAGAACCCAGGGTGCCAGCGCCGCAGGTGGAGGATTAGCCTAGTGAACTGCGGTGTCGGCATGAACCCTGGAATTTTTGAAGGAAAAAAAAATAGGCCATTACTTTTCACTTAGACTTTAATCTTAAGAACCAGATTTTTACCAAGAACCAGACCTTTGATCTGGGTGATGTGGTAAGGCATTTTTAAAAATTCAGATAAAATCTATCATGTGGACAATGAGGAAGAATCCTCAGAACTCTCAGAGTGACTTTGCTTCTACAACAGCTGTCCTAACAACAGATCTCCCCCTCTTTGTCTGGGGTGACATTACCCAGGTTTTGTGTGGGGATCATAGCAGCAGCCTCTCGAGGGGACACACATTCATGAAGGTCTCCATTGAAGGGGGTAACCACACTGTCTCCTCTTCTTTGCTGCATTTTTTCCAGCAACATGTCCAGGTCATCACCTATTCCAAAATAGAGATAGGAAAGTTACAAGGAATGACATGTTATTGCTTTCATTAGTCTCTGAGTTTTGTGGTCAGGCTGGGTTCTCATCAAGTTTGTGGGTCAGCCAGCAATTCATGCCAGAGTTTATATTTGGTCATTGTTGTGGCAGTGTTGATGGCAAGAGCTACCCACATTGGTATTTTTTTTAAAGATTTATTTATTTATTTGAAAGGGAGAGTTGCAGATAGGCAGAGGCAGAGAGAGAGAGAGAGAGAGAGAGAGAGAGAGAGATCTTCCATCTGCTGGTTCACTCCCAAGATGGCCACAACAGCCGGAGCTTCATTGATCTGAAGCCAGGAGCCAGGAGCTTCTTCCTGGTCTCCTACACAAGTGCAGAGGCCCAAGGACTTTGGCCATCTTCCACTGCTTTCCCAGGCCATAGCAGAGAGCTGGATTGGAAGTGGAGCAGTCGGGACTTGAACTGGTGCCCATATGAGATGCCGGCACTGCAGGCGGCAGCTTTACCCGCTACGCTACAGCGCTGGCTCCCTTACATTGGTATTGTTTTCAAGTGACATGCATTCACACACTGTTTCTCTCTCTTTTTTTTTTTTTTTGACAGGCAGAGTGGACAGTGAGAGAGAGAAACAGAGAGAAAGGTCTTCCTTTGCCGTTGGTTCACCCTCCAATGGCCGCTGCGGCCAGCGTGCTGTGGCCGGCGCACCGCGCTGATCCGATGGCAGGAGCCAGGTACTTATCCTGGTCTCCCATGGGGTGCAGGGCCCAAGCACTTGGGCCATCCTCTACTGCACTCCCTGGCCACAGCAGAGAGCTGGCCTGGAAGAGGGGCAACCGGGACAGAATCCGGTGCCCCGACCAGGACTAGAACCCGGTGTGCCGGCGCCGCAAGGCAGAGGATTAGCCTAGTGAGCCACGGCGCCGGCCACACTGTTTCTCTTTTGACCTCCATAATAGTCAAAAGCAGGTAGAATGGAATTATTCTATCTGCACATGATGTTATCAGAACACTGAGACCCAGGGGACAGAGATTCACCCGAGGTCACTCAGCAAGGCGGCAGAGCTGAGGCTTCGCTTCTAGCACCGAGGTGCCTTTCTCTGGAATCCCTGCTGCTTCCTGTGGTGTTAGTAACAAAATACTCAGGATGAACCACTCCAAACGGAAGATCAGCTTTCAGGCTCACACTCCGCACTCGCATCCTTGACAGGCTAAGATTTAAACTCAGTCACGCAGCTAGGGACTGGCACGGCCGCTGAGTTTTACAACCACTCACCTAATGACGTGGTTTTGAAATGTGAGGCCAGGAAACTGACCTTTCCTGTGATGAGCTCATAACTAATTTCTTTCAAAAACTCACTTGTGGTGAGCATGCTCTCTGCCAGAGCCCGGGACTGATGCTGACCTGTAGCACAGAGGGGAGAAGAGAGGACTCGTCAGGAGAACAGATGTTCACAGGAATTTTATTTATAATGCAACAGCTGGAGACAAAGTGCGTAACCATAGGGGTCTTGGTTAAGAAACCCATGCTACATCAAAAGAGGCAGCCTTTGACATGTCAATTTGAAGAACACAGACAGAAACAGATAATGTTTATGATCAAGGGGAAAAGCATACTTTGTGTTTGTAGCTTAAAACATACATATGTGTGGGTTTACAAACTAAGGAAAGAGCATGGAAAACCTGATAAAATTGTGTTTTCATGGTTACAATGAGTAGTTGCCTTTGAAATATAAATTTAGGTGGTTGTTTTTACAAATGAAAATGAACAAAATTAATGTATCATGGTGTCTGATGAATTTCTGTGAAAATATGCACAGTACAGAAAGACAACCAGACAGGTCTTGTCAAAGTGAGGAGGCTTAGTGCCGTTTGCTTCAGAGAGTGGAGAAGCAACATTGAGCCCACCTGGCTACCCAGCTTAGCGCCTGATTGAGAATCAGCACAGATTAAAAACAACAACAACAAAAAAAAAACCCACATTTTATACCAACTTTCCGAGGCTTTTCTTTGGAGTCAATGTCATAACATTAAACAGACACCTCAGGGAGGAGGGACTACCAGAGCTAACTTTCTGGCAAATCTCAACTGGCTTAGGCCACCTGTGGCACTGGCTTTACCACATGCTAGGCTGGTAACATCTCCAGAGCCTTTTAAGGGCAGGAGTAATATGAGACAAAGGTGTCTGTTACTAGGATGAGCTTTGAAATAATGCTGCCAGAGCCAGCTGACGGGGACACCAGCCAAACCAAAAGCTATAAGACTCTGATCTGAGGAGGAAAAAAAGAATTAAAATTAGGAGGAAGGATCCAAATTGGAACAAATAACTACCAGTTGATTATGTGGATACCTAAAACAGCCAATTAATATCTTTCAGATGGACAAGTGATTGAATGAATGGATTAAACAGTTACTCACCTAACACCACAACACAAAATTCATTTCCTCTGATTTTTGACGCACAAATTGCCACCACATAATCCGGTAGCCTTTGATAGTGTCTCATTTCGCTGAGAGTCCTCAGTGTCTCTGAAATGCCCTCCGCCAAGGAGTTCTGGGTCACGATCACATGAACCAAGTCCTGAGAAACACTGGCAATCAATCTAGCAAGCCAGGGGAGCTGTCCTGGTGACACAGGTACACACTGAGCACCGAGCTGCAGGGCTCGCTCTCTCAGAGTAAATTCCTGCATAGCTTTCAGCATAATTTGCTCAAATTCTTCCCTCAGAGGTATTTGATCAGGACCTGTAGTGAAAAGAGTTACAGCTAGAATTTTAAAAATCACAGGGAGAGGCACACACCCACACCATTCTCTTGGGGCTGGGGAATAGTTGCTAAATCATGTGGTCTGGCCTTGCCAGAGCAGCAGCAAGTGGGATTCACAAGTCAATAAATCTATAGCAGGCCGATTTTTAAGTTCATCATCATTTTGCAACCCCTTCTCCCCCTCCCCCACAACCTGTAGCCTACCATCCTCCCACTGGCAAATAAGCTTTGTTTGAGTGGCCCCAAGGACCGATCACCTATTAATCATTCCCCATTGTGAAGTCACATTCTCTCTTCTCTTTCTGCTTCAACTTTTAAACAAATATTTATTTTTATTTAGTTGAAAGGCAGAATGATAAAGTGGGAGAGACAGAGAGACAGGGATGGGGTGGAGGGAGAAATATCTTCGGGGCTGGGTAAAGCCGCAGCCTGCAGTGCCAGCATCCCATATGGACGCCGGTTCAAGTCCCAGCTGCTCCACTTCCAATCCAGCTCTCTGCTATGGCCTGGAAAGCAGTAGAAGATGGCCCAAGTCCTTGGGCCCCTGCACCCATGTGGGAGACCCAGAAGAAGCTCCTGGCTCCTGGCTTTGGATCGGCGCAGCTCTGGCTGTTGCGGCCATCGGGGGAGTGAACCAGCAGATGGAAGCCCTCTCTCTCTCTGCCTCTTCTTCTTTCCCTGTGTAATTATGACTTTCAAATAAATTAATTAAAAAAAAGAGAAATATCTTCCATTTGCTGATTCACTCCCCAAATGGCTGCAACTGCCAAGGTTGAACCAGGTCAAAACCAGAAGCCAGGAACTCCATGTGGTGTTCCACAGGGGTGGCAAGGGCCCTAGCACTTGGGTCATCTCCCACTGTTTTCCAGGCACATTAGCAAGGAGCTGGATTGGGAATGGAGAAGCTAGCACTTCAACCTGTGCCCACATGAGATACTTTTCCTGCTACACCACAATGCCGGCTCTTTCTACTTCAATTTTTTTTTTTTTAAACAGGCTTCTCTTGTCCTCTATTCTATTTCTGATCTCTTTAAAGGAAGATGTACTAAGTGAGCATCACTTCTACTATGTGTCTTGGGAGATTGCAGGGGGCATAGTGCTTGTATTAATTGAGGCAATAATGACGCGATTCATGCCTGACGAAACAAGAAGCCAACCTAGTATTAATGAACTTACGGTTTCATTTCTCATTTTATTCATAATGCATTGCCTCTGTATCTGATTTCATGAATAACACCAACAGGGAAATTATCTTTCAGTCCTAATTTACATTTCAGCAGCCTCATACCTTCCCCAGTTAGAGAACACTTCTATAATCTAGTTATTTTCCATATTCTGGACTGATAGATATGACATTTGGTCCTCACCCCCAGTTATGGTTAGAGCTAAGTTTTACTGGAATTGGGGGATTTTGCTTCTTATTCTCTTTAGAAATGAAACCAGTCTTCAGAACAAAATAAGCAAGTCAATGTATGACATCCAAATAGCACAAATAAACTGAGGTTTCTGCATTTAGCTTAAATGGAAACCAATGGGAATCAATACATTCATTCCCTGTAGTCAGTCATTCCTTTTGTTGTGGGAACCCCAGCTTTGAAATCCTGGCATCTAAACAGACACGGACTCCATGACCCAGGAGAAGCAATAGACTCAGAACCAGGACTAAAAGCCCCTTAGGAAAGAACATGGGGACACGGGACTGGACTTCTGGACAAGGAGGCAGCACCTGGAGAGAATCAGAAATCTTCCCTTCCTCTAACGGCTTTTAGTGGCCTCCCTGACCCGCCTATCATTTCTGGAAAATGAGCGGCTTAGTAATGTTTTTTTTTTTTGACAGGCAGAGTTAGACAGTGAGAGAGAGAGACAGAGAGAAAGGTCTTCCGTTGCCGTTGGTTCACCCTCCAATGGCCGCTGCGGCCAGCGCACCGCACTGATCTGAAGGCAGGAGCCAGGTCTCCCATGGGGTGCAGAGCCCAAGCACTTGGGCCATCCTCCACTGCACTCCTGGGCCGCAGCAGAGAGCTAGCCTGGAAGAGGGGCAACCGGGACAGAATCCGGTGCCCCGACCGGGACTAGAAGCCGGTGTGCCAGCGCCGCAAGGCGGAGGATTAGCCTATTGAACCACGGCGCTGGCTAGTAATGTTTTTAAGATAAACAAAATTAAGTAAAATGTGGTACATTTAACAAGTAAGCCATTTTATAATTTTTCCAGGGTTGGCTGGAGACCAGGGAGAGGTAGGAGAGTGGACTCCTCATTGACAGATTTTTCTAATCCTCATATTAGAAAGGTAAGAAAATTAAAATACTTATATTTATGCTTCTCATGTCTTTCCTGATTACTTGCTAGGGGGAGGCAGATGTCTTTTTCTTTATCATCACTTCTAATCTTCATTCAGCTTTATCAAATTAGCATCATGGTAGTGGGCACTACACTCAAAGTGGATAGATCTGGAATGACCACGTCAAATGAACACCAAGTGGTCATCTATTTAAATCTTTCTTCCACCAGAACACACGGCAGCTCAAGAGCAGGTGGCCCTGACTGTCTCCAACTCCCTAATGTCTTTCACCAACAATCTAAAGGCTCAGAGACAGAGTTAACAGTTGTATCCATAAGACCCTCCAAACCAGGATTAAGTATCATGTTGTATTAGGAAGCATCATTAATTCCAAATATAAAGGCATTCTAGGAAAATAAAATTATCTAACAAGTTCACAGGATCTCTGTTGTCTGAAGACTCCCTTTTATGGAGTTTTGACTGAATCACTATTAGGAATCGAGAAGTGGGGAGATGCATTAAAGTTTAAATGAGGTTTGACTCTTTGAGTAAAATGCCTTGCTTCCAATCACTGATCATCACTTCTTCATCCTCAGTCATTACAGCTAAATTGCAGGAGCCTTTTCTCCACTTTTTGCAAGCTTAATAATAGTATTTTTTCCATTTAAGTGCTTGTCTCCAGTAACTCAGTTTAGCCCAGGCATTAGTTCTGATAGTTTTTCAGATAGAGCTACCCTAATAGGAAAAGGCATGGTTCCTGCAGACTCAGGGCCCTCCAAGAATCTCTGGATTTTCTGATTTCATTATCTACTTCAAAAGATTTTCAGATTGTGAAATAACAGAAAAATGTGTTTAAAGAGACTGGTGGAGAGGCCTGTTCCTTTGGAAGAATCTTGCTTTTCTTCTCTGTTTCAAGTAGCTCAGCCTCCAACGTAGTAAAACTGTCCTTTAACAGTCCGTATTTATTTGTTAATTGTCTACAATATATGGCCTACATGAAAATACTCTTTCTGCCTTCTCAAAACCTCCAGAGGCATACATTTTTTCTGAGGACTCTTGAACGGTTTATTGTTGAAGGGCAGAGAAGTCCCAATGTACAAAGTTTAGGTGGAAAAGAAAAGAAAAAACTCTTCTTGTTTTTTGAGATTTTCCTGTTTTGTTTTTTAAGATAAGAACCTTTAGTAATTCAAAGGAAGATGTTGTATTTTGACCTTTTGATTCACTCGATTAATTTGGACTTCATTTTTAAAAATTGTCATGATCGAAAAAACTAGTATAGTCATGGCCTGGTTTGTTGTGATTGTACTGCTCTATGAAGCCTTGTTTTACTGATTCTGTGTTTATCTAGAAGCTGGTTTTAGCTCTTGGAACACAATCCAACATCAGTGTGAAGCCACTAAAATTATGATATCAAATGAGTTGTAGACCAAAGTGATTTTTGTAATTTTATTACCCATCAATAAGAACGACTGGCAAGTTCAAGATCATGCACACCACCATCTCAGGTGGTTTTCATGGTAAATCTGAAAGCTTCAAAGTTTCAAAAGCTGATGTCAAGGCAGAGCTCACATCAAGGCAGCCTCTCAGGGAACTGAAAGTACTAGCCAAGGCTGCTAATCGATGCTCTGAAAGATGAAGCTTTTGATTGCTTTTAACACTGTTTAGCTTGGTGTTTTCATATTTAACACCAGAAATATTTTCTAACGTTAAAAAACTTCATGAGAATACATACCAAAAATTTCAGGTGTAATTTTGCATCTCTAACATTTTTCTAAGTAAACTATTCAATGGCTTGAAGTCCTGGAGTGAGTGTATAATTAGGTTGCATAGTAGATGGCCTACTGCAGTTTGCAAAATAAAGGACATTTCTATGTAAATGCTGCCAAACCACTACAGTATTGTCAGGGCACTTGCATATACCCACTGAGGGGCTCAGGAGGGTATTTCAAATAAAGGAAGTGAAGGGTTCATGACCTATGTGTCCCTCTTACCCTAAAGCCAAGGGAGCCTTCCAGGGAGGTCCACAGTTACTACCTCAGTGAAGGAAAGCAAGAAGGGACCACATCAAAGGGTACAGTAGGAGAAGGGAAAAAATGGAAGTAGGAACAGTAGATAAACAAGATGAAAAGGCTAAGCGGAGGAGGGCATTTAGCCCAGCTGTTAAGACACCAGCTACGGCGCTGCATCCCCCACTGGAGTGCTGGGTCTGATTCCTGGCTCCAGCTCCCGATTCCATCTTCCTGGTAATACAGATTATGGGAGGCAGCAGTGATGACTCAAGCAATTGGATTCCTGCCACACATGTGGGTGACCCATTTTGAGTTCCTGGTTCCAGCTGCAGCTGCGGCCCTAACCCACACCTGGCTTCAACCTAGCTGCAATCCAGCCCTGACCATTGCAGGCATTTAGGGAGTGGAACAGTGGATGGGAGTGCTGTCTATCTATATTTTTGCTTAATAATCATAATCATAATCATAAAGGCTAAGTGAAAAACTGGAAAATAACTGTCTCAGACAATGCCTATGACTTGTACTCCAAATGACAGCCGTGCTTCCAGAATGGTAGTCTGGCCAGATCACCCAAAGCAGGGCTGCCAATGGTATAATCTAAAAGCAGTACTTTGGAGACCTTAGAAACATCATGAAACTGGACACTAGGTGGAGCACTTCATCTTTTTTAGGACCCAGAGAAGCAAGAAAGGAAAGGGGGAAAGTCAAAGAGAATGGGGTAAAGGAAAATAAAAAGTAGATGTGAAAGGAGGAAAATAGGAGATGGGTGGATGAATGTGAGAAATAAGGAAAAAACATACTACAAAAAGAATAAAAACAGTCACCAGCAAATGGTTATCAAAAATAACTTACCCAACCGCACAAGATACTGTATTGTCAGAAGAATCATATTTTCCACACTCAGGAGTTGGCTGCCTGTCAGCCCTAATTGTTCCAAATCTTTGTTTTCCAACTGTGGAATCTTGTAACAATTCACCAGCAGAGGACTCACAACAATGTCACCAACATTTCCATAGAAATAGGGTAAAGTGCCATAGCCTGCCCCAGTAGAAGTAGAAGTATACAGCTTAATATTTCATTTAGAGGTACAACAAGGTAAACTTGCTCAGCTCAACTAGGATCAAAACTGTTCAATAAAGTTCTACGTCCTCTTAGATAGCTGCTAAGCAAATCACTCAAATATGAGAAGTCTTCAAAAAAGTTCAAGGAAAATGCATATTATGAAAATGGATTTCAAAATTTTTTTGCACCAAAATAAACTTATCTTTTAGTTCCATTTCCCACGATCTTTTTGAAGTACCCTTATATCTCCATCTTAGTGAATTCATTTGGATGCTTTCAATTCCATCCTTATATTAAATAGATGAAAATGAAGCAAAATATTGCAATGGTTTTATCTGTTCCCCACAGAAGGAACAGGTTAACATTCTGTCTCTGCCAGGGAAGATAGATGAGTTTATAAAACATCTCGGTATCCTTTGTAAAACTGCAATGATAAAACATTTTCTGATAAAGTTCCTCCTGATCAGCTTTCTTTTCATGTGAGAGATCAGAAGAAGAAACTACAGTAACATGTTTTACTTCCTGAAGTTAGCTTAAAAAAAAACACACATATACTAGTTTCATTGATCAACAGCCATATTCTATCCTGCCAGTTGTACGTGCATGGAGGGTCCTATTCCTTTTGCTATCTTAGGTATTTTTGTCAGATTTTCCTTCTGAATGTCAGTAAATAGCCTCAAATTATCTTAGAGAAGATAGGGTAAAAATAGGTTGAAAACATAATATGTTTTGGTGTGTGGCACAGAGGATAGTCCCTCTGTGAGACTTTCTAAGAGGCAGATACCACAAGACCAAAGGGCCTCCTGTTCCATGTATCTCTTCAAGGCTTATTTGAAGTATGCCAATGTTTGATAAGAACTTCCTGAAACATATGGAATTCAAGCAAGAGGGATTCCTCCAGTACCTACAGATCCAGGACTGGTGGATATGGCAGCTTGATAAAGGGTAGGACTTCAAGCAAAACCACCCAAGTCTGTGGGCTCAGTCCAGCCACAAGATGCAAGATAACACCTCCTGTAAACACACCTTAAAGACCTATGGAGCTTAAACACCCTATCTATTTTGTCCTGAAGGTATAGCAGGCAGTCTCCTACTGGCCTATGCTTGCCCCTAAACAAGAAGACCCTTGATGTGGGTAGGAAAAGGCTCCTAACTTTTAAAATTTCTGTCTATTGATAGCCTGGAAGGACTCAAGCTCCTTAAAGATGCTAATTCACAGGTGTTTCCCTATGGTTCAGAGCTACACCTGGAGGCCTCTGGGTTCTCCTGAGTGAGGTCTGTTAGCTGGCTTGGCTTGTTATTTGTCTTCTGTGGTTTAGCTCTCTTCGGCTGGAATGTCCCCTCCCCTGCTGTCCACTCTTACAGACCTCCAGGACATCACGTCTGCACAGACTCCTGTAGGCAGAGGTAAGCCCTCTCTCCTTGAGCTCCAGTAGCTCTTGGCTGTGAACCTCTACCAGCTCTTATCAGAGTGTGTTGTAATGGCTATTTACTAACTCCAATGGTTAATGGGAGGTTAGACTCCCTCACTAAACAGCACTCCTTGAGGGCAAGACTTGGCCTTATTCTCAACTTCTTTTTTTTTTATTTTTTTTATTTTTTTATTTTTTTTGACAGGCAGAGTGGACAGTGAGAGAGAGAGAGACAGAGAGAAAGGTCTTCCTTTTGCCATTGGTTCACCCTCCAATGGCCGCCGCGGCCAGCGCGCTGTGGCCAGCGCACCGCGCTGATCCGATGGCAGGAGCCAGGAGCCAGGTGCTTTTCCTGGTCTCCCATGGGGTGCAGGGCCCAAGCACCTGGGCCATCCTCCACTGCACTCCCTGGCCACAGCAGAGGGCTGGCCTGGAAGAGGGGCAACCGGGACAGAATCCGGCGCCCCGACCGGGACTAGAACCCGGTGTGCCGGCGCCGCTAGGCGGAGGATTAGCCTAGTGAGCCGCGGCGCCGGCCCTATTCTCAACTTCTAATTACAAGTTTACTATATACCAGGGGTCTTCCAAAGGTTCGCGGAAAAATGTGTATTGTAAAAAACTATGAAAGCATTTCAAAAGAAATTTTTTTACTCCAAAATAAACATCTAATTTCATTCCCCACAAACTTTTTGAAAGTACCCTTGTAGCATGAGGAGTTGACCAATAAAAGCTGAAAGAATCAGTGGCGGGATAGATGAATATATTCATGAATACATGAATAAACATACAAACGGTAAAATGGAGAAACATTCCTAGATTCAAAAAAACAGACAACTTGAAATTCCTTTTGCCTTACCTATAAGAATAACTGGTCTAACTCCTGAGTTACTCAGCAGGTTTTCAGGAACAATTACAGTTTCCCCTGCAGGAATGGGCCGAGGTTGTAAAATTCCAGTTAATGGGGTCTGTGGAACTGGGTTAGATAAAAAAGGCTCTGGAAAACAGAAGTTGTTCAACAAGAAGCATTAATCATGGAAGAAAAATGAAATACAACAGAATGCAATGCAATTTTAACGCTTTTAATAAATAAGTCTTTGAAGTCTAAAAGCTCGTTTTTTAATTAGAGTAATTCATGCGTATAATACAAAATCAGAAGTGAGAAAAACTAAAGGAGGAAAAAGTCAATATGATATGATAGGATCATATCCTCTGGAGATAACTATTATTTAGCATTTTGGTGGCTTTCCTTCTAGTTGTTTTTTTTTTTCTTTCACATGCAATCTTTTGCTTTTGTATTTTATCTTTTTCTCCCAGATTATCAAAGACATTTCTGCTCATTACATAAATTTTGAAATGCATGGTAAAGTGTGAAGGACACTGATCAACACTACCAAGGGGCAACCACAGAATACTGGCATGATTCTTTGTGTATCTAAGTTCTCTATGTAGAGAACAATTTATTCTAACAAATGTAAACATGTAAAGGCTCCTATAAAACTAATGTTTACAATAATCTGTGTTTAGTACAGCAAGGTAGGCAAACATTTGAATATTTAAATGTGTGAGTACCAAATGGCCAGAGTCTGGGTATTATAAAGGAGAACAAGTTGTTTTTTCAGATTTCCATCTAAAGACTGAAGCATGAAGACCAGAAATAACAAGCCTTAGTCACATAAAGAACTAGAACACAGGAAGGCAAATCTAACGTCACCACTGGCAAAGCAAGTCCATTTTTTGTTCTATGATGGCGTGTTGGTAGCATTATGCCCTCTATAATGAATAGCTTATTAATGTTTTGGGCTAAAACTAAGTTAAAGGTTGAATGTTCTTGTAGGAAAGGCAAATGTGATGGAGACAAAATAGTAGCTACTATCAATAATTTGATAATCCACTAGACCCAACGATTAGTTAAGGAAGTTTATCTTCAGAGGTTCAGAGAAAGAATAGAAGGGATATCTGCAAATTAAGAAAAAAACTTTAAAAAATATGTCTTCTATTAAAATCTTACCAGTTCTTGAAAGAGGGCGAACTGTAGGAACAGGTACAACTAAACCAGGTTGGGGGACGGGTGATCCAGGATACCACCCTCGGTGCCGTTTCTTTGGTGGCCCAGAAATGAACATGGGAGCTGAAAGCAAAAAGAAAGATGGCTTTGTCCTCAGCATTTTGTAAAACATAAGGAATGCCAAAGTGACACAGGACCATAGATAATTACACTCAGAAAAATCAAAGTCCTCCTTCCAGAGTTAAAGATAAATTTAGAAAAAGCCAAGCTAACTTAGCACCTAACATCACACCAACATCTATGTGCTGGTTTACAATTTTACCCGGATTCTTTAATTTGATTCTATCAATGACTCTAAAGTTGTGGAATGAGCATTATTGTTATACCCATTTTGTAACTGGAGTAAGGAAGGTTCAGATTTGCCCATGGTCACACAATAGAGAGGAACTTTAAATCCTATAGTTTTGTCAGCAAAGTCTATGTTTTTTTTCCAAGACACTTCCGCATACATTTGTTTCAACATTACTCACCAGTTACACTCATCCATGTAGAATCATAAAGATAATCACTACTGTTCACAGCAACCATAAACTTTCAAAATATTATATGACAAGCTAAGGAAAAACCTAGAGGATGTTGTCAGATAATCACTGTTCCAAAATTTGCAACACGCTTTGCCATTATTAAGTGCATTACTTAAAGACTCTAAGATGGGTACTGTACCTTGGTCTCCTGATGCCTGACTAGGCCTTGGTGACAAAGAGTAATTCCCTGGGCGGGGGAGCGTGGAGCTCGGGGCACTGCTCTTCCCTCCGTGGCTACTGTTTCCATTAGCAGCATCTGTAGTACAAGAGAAGAGGAGCCACTCACAACAGAGCTGGACAGGACATCTCACAATCATCAGACTCTAGGGTTCAAAGAAATCTTACTGATAGGACTCAGCCCAGTTGTGTAAAACCAACTATGGTCGTCAAAGTCATATCTTCACTGAAATTAAATGTCATCCATAATTTCAGGAAATTACAAGGTCCCAAGAGATCTTTTAGGATAATTTTCAAAGAAGTAGTTGGAGATGGTGGTTGGAAGGAAGGAAAAAAAATTCTTATATACCATGGAAAATTTCAAATATATATAGGAGAGAGAAATATAAATGAACTTTTTTAAAGAAAAAGATTTATTTACTTATTTGAAAGGCAGAGTTACAGAGAGGCAAATGGCTGCAATGGTCAGAGCTGGGCGGATCTGAAGCCAGGAGCCAGGACCTTCTTCCTGGTCTCCCACGTGGGTGCAGGTGCCCAAGGACTTGGGCCATCTTCTACTGCTTTACCAGGCCATGGCAGAGAGATGGATCAGAAGTAGAGCAGCCAGGTCTCAAACCAGCACCCATATGGGATGCAGGCATTGTAGGTGGTGGCTTTACCAGCTATGTCACAGCGCCGGCCACTAATAAATTTCTAAATACTCATCACCCAGCTTCAATATTTATCAACGCATAGCCCATCTTGTTTCATTTATACCCCAAACCTCCTTCCCCACCTCATATACACATATACGCATTCTGGATTATTTTGAAGCAAACCAATTTATCAAATCATCTCACTATTAAATATTTCTGTATGTATTTTCAACAGAAAATGACTTGGGGCCAGCATTGTGGCATATGAGTTAAGCTGTCAACTGCAACATAGCCATCCCTCTATGTTGCCAGTTGGGAGTCCTGGCTGCTCTACTTCCAATCCAGCTCTCCACTAATGGCTTGGTAAAAGCAGCTGAAGATGGCCAAGTCCTTGGGCCCCTGCACTCACATGGGAGACCTGGAAGAAGCCCCTGGCTCCTGGCTTCAGACTGATTCAGCTGCAACCACTGTGGCCATTTGGGGAGTGAACCAGTTGATGGAATCTCTCTCTCTCTCTCTCTCTCTCTCTCTCTCTCTCTCTTACACACACTGCCTTTCAAATAAATAAAATAAATCTTTTTAAAAAGGTGACTCTTTAAAAATACAATTAAACATTATACTTAAAATGAACAGTGGGGCAGGCGTTGCGGCACAGTGGGACTATGACTATGACTATGTCATTCCTTTGCTCCTTAAGTTATAAAAAAAAAAAATTCATCCATCTTAGCCTGGCTTCCAATGACTATTCCCCTGCCCACAACTGGCTCACCTCCTGCCACTCATGGAATTTTAACATTTTATAGTTCTAAAAAAGTCCAAAGTGGTAAGTTTTTACACATATCATGCTGTGCACTCCCCCTTACTTTTCCCTTCTTTTCCTTTTCACCTTCGTTCTTGATGTTCCCTGAATTTGAAATGCCCTTTCTCCAACCCTACATACAACATGTGTCCCCTCATCATTAAAGACCAGGTTCCTCCAGGAATTCACTCTTGATTATTCCCTAACATGCAGGCTGCAGTACCTTGAGAATATCTTAATATAGGCTCTTCCCCCACCCTCCAGGTTAGACTACAGGGACATCAGTGGTCAGGATTCAGTCTTAATTTATCTTTGTATCCTCAGTTCCTATTCACAGCAGGTGCCCAAGAAATGTTTGTTGAACTGAATCAAATTGCTTTGTTTCTTTTGTGTGCCAAATATAATCCCCTGATTCTTGCAGTTGGAACACAGAGAACACAAACTTTGTACAGTAATACACTACTGTAGATAGCCCACTGGCAGGTGGAAGCAGCTTCTGTTTTATTCTATCAATTTGTCAAATTGCACACAAGTCTTTTATACACTAAGTATTTATCAAAGAAACATAAGTGAGGAAAACATCACCTGCAGGAAATGTCTTCCCTATAACCTGCAAAGATAAAGCCAGTGGTTTCACAACATTCTTATTCCGGGTCAGGTCCTGAGCTCCACTTAAATTGATTGCAGAATTAGCTGGACTGAGAATTGGCGAATCTTTAAAATGAAAGAGGTTGTTTAAATTAGCAACCGTTTATATATGCAGGGAGGAAGTTAATTCAACAAGTGTGAGTTGAGAAAAAGTAGGCTGTAAAATTTCAGTTTTTTCCTTGAACTATTCGGAAAGTCAATTTCTCTGTATTTACTTTTTATTATTTTTAAATTTATTTCATAAACACTGGAAGGTACTATGTGCTTTGTGTTATTCTAAGCACGTAATATGAATTCACACAATTCCTATAACAACACTGAGGTAGCATTACTACCTTAAGTAGCAGTAGTCACTCAGTCAAGTCAGATGCCCTGTCACCAAGGATACCATCATGCTCCACAGAAAACTGTTTCCACAGTTTCCCTCAAAACCATATTTTTTTTTAATTTAAAAAAGAATTTATTTACTTCAGAGGCACAGTTACATACAGAGAGAAGGAGAGACAGAGAAAAAGGTTTTCCATCCACTGGTTCACTCCCCAGATGGCCACAATGGCCGGAGTGGGCCAATCCGAAGCCAGGAGCCAAGAGCTTCTTCCTTGTCTCCCAAGTGGGTGTGGGGGCCCAAGCACTGAGACCATCTTCCACTGCTTTCCTAGGTGTATTAGTAATGAGCTGGATTGGAAGAGGAACAGCAGGGTCATGAACCAGCGCCCATATAGGACGCTGGCACCACAAGTGGAGGCTTAGCCTACAATGCTACAGTGCCGGCCCCAAAACATATTTTGGCATATTTATCTCTATCTAGAATGAGTCTGCCATTTAAAAAGTATCATACCAACTAACTCATTGTAATTTAGGAGAAAGAACTTTTCTCTAAAACAAAGCTACTTTAATTTTGGAATAATCTAGAATTATTTTACTGCATTACCAGTACATCCACAGGATCACTCCCATGTATTTGGATTCAGATAATAATAGAAATTGCAAAAATCACATGCTGTTTCAGAGGTTGGCTATGGGAGAGATGAAAGCTCAGGCTAATTGGAGTTTTCTGAAACGAGTAGTCTCACAGTCCCTACCTCTGCTCTGGCAGAATAGCTAGATCAGTTAACACAGGAAAGTATCACAGGGACTATTATACTCGAAGCGCTCTAAAGAACAGGATACTGATGATACTACACTAGAAATTTCTTTTTAAAAAACTATTACTCTGGGGCCGGTACTGTGGCATAGCAGGTTAAGCAACTGCCTGCAATGCTGGCATCCCATATGGGCACCAGTTAGAATCACAGCTGCTCTACTTCTCATCCAGCTCCCTGCTAATGCACCTAGGAAAGGAGTAGAAGATGGTCCAGGTACTTGGGCCCCTGCATCCACGTGGGAGACCTAGAAGAAGCTCCTGGCTCCTGGCTTTGGCCTGGCCATTGCCCTCTTTGGGGAGTGAACCAGCAGATGGAACATCTCTCTCTCTCTCTCTGTCTCCCTCTCTCTGTGTAACTCTGCCTTTCAATTAAATAAATCCTCAAAAAACAAAACACTATTACTCATACCATAGCATGATTCCTAATTCATTTAATCTGTGCTTCCCCTAAGAAATCAAAAGAATTAAATAGTTCCCTGCTGACGGGAATTTTACGGTTCTTCTTACCACCAGGGAGTGATGACAAGGGCTGTGGGAAGAACAGAGGCTAGCAAATACCAGTACAACATCACAAGCTTGTAGGAAACTGAAGGCAGCTGTTTTTTTTTGTTTTTTTTTTTTTTCTTTTTTTTTTCACGTCTTAACAAGAGAGCCTTACACAAGAGGTATCCCGAATAAGTTTGTTGTGCCATTACAAGTGTTGGACATTATGTTTCAGGCCACAATCATGTTGTCTGGAACAAGATTAGTAGCCAATTATACTGATTTATCCCTATAATTTTTTCATATCTCTGACAGTCCAGATAAACACATAGGTAAAATCTGGTAATAAATTATGAAGAGTGGTAATTCACCTTGTTTTTTCTTCCTTCCTTCCATTCATTCATTCTTTTTTCAAGATTTATTCATTTTGGGGGCCAGTGCTATGGTGCGGTGGCTTAACCTGCTACACTACTGCACTGGCCTCTCTCTCGCTCTCCTTTTTTTTTAAAGATTTATTTTAAAGTTAGAGTTACACAGAAGAGAAAAGGAAAGGCAGAGAGAGAGAGGTCTTCCATCCGCTGGTTCACTCCCCCGATGGCCGCAACAGCCAGAGCTGCAGTGATCCGAAGGTAGGAGCCAGGAGCTTCTTCTGGGTTTCCTACATGGGTGCAAGGGCCCAAAGACTTGGGCCATCTTCTACTGCTTTCCCAGGCCACAGCAGAGAGCTGGATCAGAAGTGGAGCAGCCGGGACTCAAACGGGTGCCCATATGGGATGCCAGCCTTGCAGGCAGCGGCTTTACCTGCTACGACACAGTGCTGCCCCACCTTTTTTTTTTTTTTTTTAAGATTTATTTATTTATTTGAAAGTCAGAATTATGGGGAGGGGTGGGGAGAAGGAGAGAGAGACAGAGAGAGGGACAGAGAGAGACAGAGATTTTCCATCCACTGGTTTACTCCCCAGATAGCCACAATGGCCAGGGCTGGACCAGGCCAAACCCAGGAGCCTCATCTCCATGTCCCACATAGGTGCAGCGGCCCATAGACTTGGGCCATCTTCCACTGCTTTCCCCAGGGCATCAATAGGGAACTGGATCTGAAGTGGAGCAGCCAGGACACAAATCATATGGGTTGGCAGCATCACAGGTGGCAGCTTTACCTGCTGCACCACAATGCAGGCCTCACCTTATTTATTCAAATGAATAAAAGCATAGACCAATATTTTTAAATAATGAAAGGTTCCAAAATTAATGTACAGAAATAAGTCTTCATGTATATTAACAATCTATTGTTAACATGCATAGGAATAAGCTTAATCAGTAAGTATGCAACTATATGAAAAAAATTTATATTTCTGAACACAGTGTCTAAGGATTGTCTTAAAACACTGAAGAGGCAGTAAGATTAAGTAATAATTGCCCTGTGTTGATAATCATTGGAGCCTATTCTATCTGTTTGAAGTTTTCTTATTAGGCATACTTAACATTTTTTAAGTGCTTCTGAAGTTCATAAAAATAGGCCTGAGTAAACATGAACACACAACCATGTTTCCAAACAGGAATATTCAAAGTAAAAAATATGCCAATCAGGGAGACAATTAGGCTTAGTTGTTGAGACACTGGTTGGGATGCCCATATGAGAATGAATTCCTGGAATTCACTTCCTGCTAATACATACCCTGTAAGGCAGTGGTAATGGCTCAAGTAATTGGGTCCCTACCACCCAGAGGAGACCTGGACTGTGTTCCTGATTCCTCGCTGTGGCCTGGCCCAACCCTAGCTGATGCAGGCATTTGGGGAGTAAACCAAGGGACAGGCAACCCTTCGATCTATGTCTGTTTGTCTGTCTCTATCTCACTGTCTCTCAAATGAACAAGTTTTTAAAATTTAAATAAGCCAAATAATATTACTGAACTAGTATTAGAATTATATAATATTTTAACTAGGCAAACTTATGTTACATTGATATGAAAAAATAAGCATACAATAAATGGCTGCAAACATCCTTAAAAAAATTAGAAGCTACATGATATAATATGATATGTTATAAAACTTCAGTGAATAATACACTGGGGTCTGGGTGCATTAGACAAACAGGAGAATGGAACAAAAAAAGATTGTAAGAAATAGATGCAGGAGGCCGGCGCCGCGGCTCACTAGGCTAATCCTCCGCCTTGCGGCGCTGGCACACCGGGTTCTAGTCCCGGACGGGGCGCCGGATTCTGTCCCAGTTGCCCCTCTTCCAGGCCAGCTCTCTGCTGTGGCCAGGGAGTGCAGTGGAGGATGGCCCAAGTACTTGGGCCCTGCACCCCATGGGAGACCAGGAGAAGCACCTGGCTCCTGCCATCGGATCAGCGCGGTGCGCCGGCCACAGCGTGCAGGTCGCGGCAGCCATTGGCCATTGGAGGGTGAACCAACGGCAAAGGAAGACCTTTCTCTCTCTCTCTCTCACTGTCCACTCTGCCTGTCAAAAAAAAAAAAAAAAAAAAAAAGAAATAGATGCAGGGATAGGTTTTTGGCCTGGAAGTTAAGATGCTCATATCCCATTTGGAAGACCTGGGTTAGATATCCAGCTTTGATTCCTAAGGCCAGCTTCCTGCTAATTCAGATTCTGGGAAGAAGCAGTCATGGCCCAAGTGATTGGGTTCCTGCCACCCACACTAGAGACCTAGGTTGAGTACCTGGCTCCTTGCTTCAGCCCCTGGCCTGGACTGGAACCACTGAGGACAACTGGGGAATGAACCAGTAGATAGGAGCATACTCTTGTGCACACGTGCACACATACACACTCTCTCTCTTTCTCTCTCGTGCCTCTTTGCCATAGATTAACCATCTCATTGATTGTTTAAAAAAATAAATAGATGTAAAAACATACACAAGAATTTAATATAATATGAAGATGGCACCTCAAATTAGGAATGTAGATGAACTATTCTAGAAATTGTGTTGAGGGGGACCAGTGCGGTGGCACAGCAGGTTAAAGCCCTGGTCTTCAGTGTCAGCATCCCAAATGGATTTCCATATAGGTGCTCGTTTGAGACTCGGCTGCTCCATTTCCGATTCAGCTCTCTGCTATGGCCTGAGAAAGCAGTGGAAGATGGCCCAAGTGCTTGGGCCCTTGCACCCATGTGGGAGACCTGGAAGAAGCTCCTGGCTCCTGGCTTTGGATTGGTGCAGCTCCAGCCACTGGGGCCATTTGAGGAGTGAACTAGCAGATGGAAGACCTCTTGTTCTCTCTCTCTCTCTCTCTGCCTCTCTGTAACTTTGCCTTTCAAATAAATAAATCTAAGAAAACAGTCGACCTTAAGGCAAAAATTAGAGAAAAAAGAAAAACAGTTTATAAAGATAAGAAGGTGAATCTACCAGGAAAACATTATTATAACATATATACATCTAACAATAGGATTTCAGATATATGAAGCAAAAATTGATAGAACTTAAG